GGTCTCACTGTGTAGTCCTGGCACTTCACTGTGAAGAACAGGCCGGCCTTGAACTCACAGAGATCCACCTGCCTCTGCCTCCCATGTACTGGGATTAAAGGCGTGTGCCCCACTGCCCAGCATGTGTTTATAATATAATTTATCTCATTCTGTTGATTGATGTTTAGGTGGATCCCATTATCTTTTTAATTATATTTTTGTTTATTGGGGGGCACCTGTGCAATGGTCCGAGGACAACTTGGCTCTCCCCTTCCACCTTGGGGGTCCTGGGGTGGAATTCAGATCCTCGTGCATGGCGGCTGGCATCTTCGCCTACTGAGCTATCTTGCTGCCCCTTGTCTACTCTCACAAATCATGTTACACTAAGAATTCTAATGAATGACTCAGAGAAAGAACCTAGAAACAAAGCAGCTGTGTATATATGGAAATTTTGTAAATGTCTGAGGTGGTTTTTCAAGTTAATGGGGAAGAAGTAAGATAATAAGTTGTATTTAAACAAATATAAACACTTTGAAAAAATAATTGGATCTAGTCAGGTGGCAGTAGTACACGCCTTTGATCCCAGCACTCAGGAGATAGAGGCAGGTAGATCTCTGAGTTCCAGGCCAGCCTGGTCTACAGAGCAAGTTCAAGGACAGCCATGGCTACACAGGGAAACCGTGTCTTGAAAAACCAAAACTAAAGAAACAGATTTACTTATTTCATTTTCTGTGTATGACTGTTTTGCCTGCATATATGTATGTGCACCATGTGTGTGCCCCTGGTACCCATGGAAATCAAGAGGGCATCTATCTGATACCCTAGAACTGGTGTTTCAGATGATTGTGAGCCATCATATGGGTGCTGAGAATTGAAATGGGTGCCTTCCAGAATAACAAGTGCTCTTAACCATTAGGCCATCTCTCCAGCTCCATACTTGATTCTTAAGAATGGTCATGACTATTCTCATTTCATTCTTTCATTGCCTTTCATTGTTTTATTCTTTGATGTTAATTGTAGTATTAGTTTCTCATAGTTATAAGTTTTCCTGTGTCCTGCCCAGTTCTGTGGCTGCTCAGACCAAATAAATACACAGAGGCTTATGTTAATTACTAACTGTATGGCCATTAGCTCAGGCTTATTACCGACTAGCTCTTACACTTAAATTAACCCATAATTCTTATCTTAGCCACTTGGGTTGGTATCTTTTCTCAGTTCTGTCTTGTCATCTTGCTTCCTCTGTATCTGGCTAGCTACTCCTGATCAGACCTTCCTCTTCCCAGAATTCTCCTTGTCTGCTCGCTCCACCTATACTTCCTGCCTGGCTACTGGCCAATCAGCGTTTTATTAAACCAGTGTACAAAGCATTATCCCACAGCAGTTTCTTAATTTCCATGGATAGCAGTTGCATACTATTTGACACATATTTGATTGTTTTGGTAGAAGTTGTTTTGAATATGCAGATAAATCTGAGAAAAATGTACATGGATAATGTATTTTACTCTGCTATTTAGAGTGTCTCTAAAAATCTTTATATATTAAATGTCTCTATTCTATAATTCCTACACATCCTTTGTTTAGACTTCATCCCAAGTACTTTCAAATGTTTGGTGTGGGCCAGCAAGAGAATTCATTGGGTAAAGGCCCTTGTTGCCCAATGTACTGACTTGAGTTGGTCCCCAGAACCCACATGGTAGAAGAAGAGAATCGCCTCTTGCAAGTTGTGCTTGGACTGCCACATGTGCACTAGGGCATGCATACCCACTCCATGCACATCACACATGCACACATGCAATAAGTAAATAACTTTTTAAAAATTAATTTGTTGATTGCAAGGAATATCTTTAATTAAATTTTGAGTTGATTGCTATTATATAAAAATGTGACTTATTTTTGTAAGCTTATCTTAAGTCTGACAACATTCCTAGAAATTTATCTACAGAGTAGTTTTCTAGGTAGTTACACTGATGTATAATCATTTGTTTTCTCTTTTCTTTCTTTTTTACTTTTTATTTCTTTTAATTTGCTTTACTGTGCTTGTATTAAACAAAGTTGAATTTACCATGGAGTTTTGTTAGATAACTGATCAAACAAAAATATTTAATTGTCACAGTGCTAGGTTCTATCAAGTGCTTTTTGTGGGCCATTATCTATAAAAATTATTACATGCTTTTCCTCTTTAAGGAAGGTTTATGTTAACATAGAATCTTTGGTTAATAGATATAATTTTGTTTATAGTATATTTGTTTAATTGAGTTTTTTAAATGCTAAATATTAACTTTTTCAAGATTAATTAGCTTATTTGTGAAAGAGAAAGAAGGAATGAAATATAAATGTAGGCTTATGAAATATTAGGAGTCAGCTGGCACTGTGATACATGCCTATAATATCAGCGGGGGTGGGAGTGGGGGGTGGGGCAGTTGGTCTCCATATAACTCAATGGATAGAATGCTTGCCTGGAATGCAGAGAGCCTTAAGATTAGTCCATAATACCAAATAAACCAGACACGGCCACTTGTTAAGTGAGTCCATGAGAGTCTGTTAAAGGGTATCAGTGAATTTATTAAGATATGAAATGGGGAGAAATACATTCACGGATACAGAATAAAGAAAACAGCCATCATTGTCCTCTGTTCTGCCTGGAGGTCCATGGAACCAGCCTTCCAGGCTCCGACCACCTCAAGAGAAACCGAGTGCATGCCCCCTCCTCAGTTTTAAGCAGTCACATACCCAGAGAAAACCATGCCTCTCTTGGGCCAGATACCCCAAGGTTATTGCCTGAGCAAATTCCCACAACGCATGGGGGTGCAGGTCTGTGATCTAAGCTCTTGGAAAGTGGAAATAAGATGATCAGAGAAGTTCAAGGTCATATAGCAAGTGAGCCTAGCCTGGGCTTTATGAGACCCTGTCTTAAAAACAAAACATCAACAAAAAAGTTTTAAAGGTCCACAAAGGGGTTCCAATGATCTTTTACCATTAAAAGGTACTCTTAATTAAAACTGTGTTTGCTGATTTCAACCAATCCTTTCTTTTTTTAATTTTACATCCCAGCCTCAGTTTCCCTTTCCTCTTCTCCTCCATGGGAGATCTGCTCTTTCAACCCATCCTTTTTAAAGCTTTTTCACAGTTTAATTTTCATCTCAAATGTCCATGTTACTGTATGTAGTTTAGAAGATGGTAAACAATGAAATGGTTAGAAGTGTAACAGGAAAGTAGAAGAAATAATTGTAGTATGTTTGTATGGTAGTTTCAGCTGTGACTTGTGAAACAGTACATGTGACTGGTAGTATCCAGTGAAGAAAATCTACCTTTAGAATTAAAGGAAAGGTAAAAGAACATGTTATTCATGATACATTTCTTTTATCTATTTATTTCCTTTTAAAACATTATGAAAAAAATATATATCTTACTGGCATGGTTTTGATTTTGTTGTTGTTGTTTTGTTTTTGGTTTTTTTTTTTTTTTTTTTGAGATGGGTCTCACTGTGTAGCCCTGGCTGGCCATGTAGAACTCGGAGATCTGCCTGCCTTCTGCCTCATGAGTCACCACCTTCATCTTTGCTGGCATTTGCTTATGCACAAAAATATTCCCACAATTTTTCAGTAAAAGAATGTAATGTGGGGCTGGAGAGATGGTTTAATGGTTAAGAGCATAGTCTTCCTGCCTGAGTTCCATCTTCAGGACCCACATTGGGCAGCTCATAGCCACCTGTGACTCCAGCTACTGGGAGGTCAAACTCTGTTCTGTCCTCTGAGGTCACTGTACACTCACATGCAAATACCCTCCCATAGACACATATACATGCATATTTTTTTTTTTTTTTTTTGGTTTTTCGAGACAGGGTTTCCCTGTGTAGCTTTGCGCCTTTCCTGGGACTCACTTGGTAGCCCAGGCTGGCCTCGAACT